CCATTGCTTCCTCACTCTGGTCGATTAGTCACCCGAGTTCTACAACACTATTTTCTACAAAAATATTTTCCGAATTATGTATTTCTTCTTCTACCTCAACTACATCTTGTAACTCTTGTGCTCTTACCAAGAACCATATATTATCATTTAATGAATCCCATAATTTTATATTTTCTCCTCTTGAACTTATATCCGTGATGGTCTTAAACAATGGTTTTCGTTTTTATCTACTACTTGTGGATGACTATTCTCATTACTCTTAGATAAACCCGCTAAAACATATATTTGAAACTCCAACCAAATTCATATTCTATAAAATTTTCATTGAAAAATAACTCAACAATTGCTATGAAGAAATTAGCTTATTTACTCTAGTTGTAAAATTATAGTTTTTACCGTAAAAATTTTTAAAATAAGTGAGAAAGCAATAAGAAAATAATTGTAAAAAAATTATAATTATTTGAAAATAAGCAATAAGAAAATTCACCAGGCAACTTTATCTCTAATAAATAGTTGGTCAGTGTATTCACATTATTATTTTTAATTATATATATTATTCTTTTACGTCCTTATAAAAAAAATATCATTATTATATTTTGTATTTAATTGATTATTTTTATTTGCAACTTTCACAAAAATTCCAATAGCATTATTTATTTATTTGGTTTTCTAATATCATGTGCAATTGATGTGGCACAAGTTGGGCAGCATGAGTCAAATCAGATAGTGCCACATCACCTAAACTAAAAAATTAAATAAGTAGGACTTTATAGTTGTTGCAAATCTAACAGTCCATGCGTCAATTTTATGATCATCAGATTTTGTTTGGGTAAAATTAATCAAATATCTACATTCAAGTGATAAAGTAGTTGATTAAGATATTATTTGTGACAGGTTTTTTATTATTTTATAAAATAGTATTTTAAAATAAATTGTTTTTAAATTTAAAATCTGCTTTAGAAATCAGTAAAAAAGTTGTCCTAACTTTTAGTTGAAAAAAATTCAGAGCAAAATAAGAATATATTATTAAAGAAATATAATATGTCTAAAATATTTAGAATTATTTAGATGAGTATAAGATAAATATAATAGATTGTACGAAGATCCAGAACACAAGCAGATGAAAGAGATGAGGGTGTAGCGATCCTAAGAGACACCAGAGTTTTTACGTTGAAACCCCTAAAAAGGGGGAAAAACCACGGGGCCTGGCCCAGTTTGAATGAATCCACTAATGCTTGCAATTGATTACAAATGAGGCCCATCCTTAGGAGGAAGGCCTTGGCTCGAAGTAACAAATATACATCATATA